CACATTAATCTACTCTCATAGTTGGAATACCTAATTCCAATTACCTGCAGTAGTCTGGGCTCCAAGTGTCAGAAGCCTGAATATGTATTTCTATTTGGCACCTGAAGGTAGCCAAGCTTCTTGGCAGTCAACTTTGTGCAGCTGTACCCAGGTTATTGTTACAGTAGCTGCTGAACAGATTATAACAACCTCCCTGGAAAAGTGTTTGTATATCCTCTGAAATATATATTTAGAAGCATGTTTGTGTAATATAATAAACAGTAGTGTTTTTGTTGATGATGGCTGATGTAATCCAGAGTGAGGATGTATATATTTGGTGGTGCTGGTGTATGACATTGCACATTATAAGCATTATATAATGCACAGTCAAGTTAATCATCTACAGGAGACCATCATCATCCATAAAAAATTTTGTTTCAGAAGACGTGCACAGAGCTTGGCTGATGTTAAGAATTTGCTCATTTTTAGATTAGCAGTTCTTCCTATTACTAATTTATCAAAGACTGAATCAGGCCTAGAGGAGATGTCCAGAGTTATCAGCAGTGTGTGATTTTTTTTTCTGCATCTGTCTGATATTAATAATATAGTTTAGGAATCAGTACGACTATAAAAAGAAAATCTCCCCAGCAAATTCTAATGACCTTATCGCAGGCAAAAGAGTACATTCTGGAAATACTCACATAATTAGCCTGGCTTAAATAGCTGCAAATAACTTGTGTTATTAGTCCAGTATAATCCTGCTTGTCTGATCACACAACATAAAACACATGACAAAAACCATAGCATTCCTTTCACTTTACAAAACCATGGGAATTACAAAGACTGTGAAAAACCATCTGTTGCAACAAGCTCTGTAAAAGTATTATAATGTAGTAGGGATGCCAATGTTAGCATGATAAGTTAACGCAAATTCTTTTTAACACCACTAATCTTTTTGACAGTAGGTCGACCTCAGCATCAGTGAGCCTTGGGCCTCCATAACCCTGTCACTAGTTCTGTGCCTCAAGCTGTGTATGATCCAGTCAAAGTCCAAACCTTCCTGAGACAAGTTTTGTTCAGATTTCACTCACTGATATCAGATTCCTCTTTTATCTTTTGTTTTCTATTCGTTTCCAAAATTAGATTTTTAGTTTTTTTGTTGTTTGAAAACCTGAGCACAACAATAAATGGACCATAAGACCACAGGGGGAGATTCCAGTGTGGGAGATGGTGGTCCAGAGTGATGGAGGTCCCACCACAATCTAAAGATAATTTTTGGTTCACTGACTTGCAATAAAACAAAGATTCACTAAGAAGCTATTAGGAAACCGAGCCCTCATCTGCTTCAATAGCACAGAGGCTTCAGCTTTGACAAAAGCCTTTGTCAGGATCACAGTGCTCACTCTGCATCTTGTAGAGACATCAGACTGGTTTATGACAGACAGGTCAGCAGGGGGCAGTTAACGGGCTGGAAACATGCAGCGCAAGCACACACACACTCACACACTGAACTGTGCCCATCCCCAAGTGCATGAAGTACAGACAGTAAGTATGTGTGCATTGTGTGTGAAAATGCTAGCAAACTTGGAGACGACACACACATACTGGAATGAAGCCCCTAATGTGAGACCAATGACCTCTCTGTACAGGGACCCTACCCAGTGAGAGTGGGTTTGCAAGCGTGTGTGTCTGAGTCCGAGTTGCCAGGCGCGGTACCACACCTGCAGTTGGAATGAGGATTGTAGAAGTAGAACAACTGGGAAAAAGATGGACACACACAACTCAGCATGACTGTGAACACATTGCTGCTGAAATTTTGTCAGCAAAGCATAACTTTGTAACTAATGTGGTATTGAAAGAACTTGGATTTTGAGATTTTGCACAAAAAAGGCACCACTGTGATTGATTGGTCTGGTTCCTCCTCACAGTCCATGTCTAGTAAGTAACGGTGTGTGGACCATGTGATGGTTGGGTTGAAGCTGCACTTTAAAGCTACAACCACATACACATGCTGGTCTATCCACACACACATCTTTTACTGCTTCAATCCACCCTAAACCTTTTGAATATCAAACACTCACCCTCTGAAGTTTTAAAAGGTGGCTGTAAAATGTTTGCTCACTAACAAAGACACTGGAACCTGATGAAGCCATATCCCTCTATCACGCTACACAAAGCTCTAAAGGTTCTTCGAAGTATTGTGTTTAATTATCTTTTAGTGCAGCTTGTGTTTGGAACATGACCGTGCTGTATCAGTGGGCAGTCTGGTAGCGGATCACGCTACAGAAGTTGTTTGAACGGATGCTTTGATGCTGTTTTCCCTTGTGAAAACTTGTGATCAAAGGAACACATTGTAGCAGACTGTGCTGAACCTAACCACAGCAAATGTTCTCTGTAAAAAAAAAAAACTAACAAGAAAAAAGCTAACTTTTCAAACCATCTATCAACTCAATGGACGTAAGTGTGATGCTAAGTCCAACCAGATGTGAATGGCCGTTTAGGATCTGATAATAAATCTGGCATCAAACATGGGAAGAGACATTTTAGATCTTGACTTTATGTCACTTTTAAACAAACTTTTCTCCTCCCTTTCTGTGCTTTTCAGAAACTGGATGTCATGAATAGTTGGCCCATACTTCAACTCTAATATGTGCAGAGGATGATGTAAACCCTCATATGCTATAAATGTGTGCCAAAGATTCTTTCTGTATGTCCTGTACAGTATCAGGCTTCATGTTGTCCACACCAGCATACAGCTGTATTATCCGGTAATCTCTTTCTGTCTCTGTGTTTTGGTTTGTGTTTGTAGTGATGTACTGTACTCTCTGCTATCTATATACAGTACATCAGTATACTCTATGCCAAAGATACGGTATTTTTACGTTTTCTGAAGAACATCATGAGTCTCTCAGAGTAAGTGTCAAGTCATATCTCAAGCCTAATCTTTGTGATTTGAGGCATCTACAACACTGATTTTGGTTCATCATGTCACACTGCATGAAACTGGTCCATGTAATAAATAAATAAATAAATAAATAAATAAATAAAAAAAAAGAAGGAACAACATTAGTCAATTTCCAGTTTAAACAAAACTCAAATTTTAACCCAATTTATAGAATGAAAAGGCAAATCATCAATCCATTTCAGAAGAAGAATTCACAATGAAACAACAGACTTTCAGTAAAACCTCAAACAAAAGAGAATAAAGTGAAAAAGACTTCTAGACTTGATTATTGCAATGCTCTATACCTAGGTGTTAACCAGTCCTCCCTTACTCCTCTCCAAATGGTGCAAAATGCGGCTGTTCATCTTTTGACAAGTACTAGGAAATTTGAGCATATAATCCCGGTACTGGCTTCCAGTCCGTTTTAGAATTGATTTTAAGTTATTGATTTTTGTTTTTAAGGCTCTTAATGGTTTGGCTCCATTTTACCTCACTGAATTAGTGCATTGGCACAAACCTACAAGGTCCCTCAGCTCTTCAAGCCAGTATCTTTTAGAGGTTACAAGGGCCAGATATAAACGCTTTGGTGACCGTACTTTTACTGTTGCAGCCTCCAAATTGTGGAATAGTCTACCTTTTAAAACATATTTATTTGGCTTGGCTTTTAATACACAAGACCTGATGCATTCCTTTCAATTTCCTTTTAATTTTTACTTTATTGAACATATGGTAACTGTGTGTCTGTGTTAATGTGCTGTTTTATTTTTTTTGCACTGATCTTATTTACTCTATTTTAGGCATTTATTGTGATTTTATTCTGCCATGTAAAGTACTTAGGTCAGCTGGATGTTGTTTTTAAAGTGCTAAATAAATAAATTTGATTTGAAAAACAAGATAAACATTTTTGATATATTAATTTAAATGACAATCTCCTTATGGGCCCCATACAGATCTCAGGTTTCCATCTGCTATAACTCTTTTGTCTGTTCATTGGAGCATAAATTTGCTTCATGTAAATTACATTATAAGAGAACAGTCAAAAATGATGTTGCAAAATAATTTTTTTTTCTCCTCTTAAATTCTGGCTTTTAAATTGCACATTTAAAGCTACATTTAATAACTTAAGGTAGCACTAGCACTAGCACTCTGGTCCGCCCAGCGCTCCTTCTCCCTGCTCCACTGCGATCTGTTACGCTCCACCACGCTCTGTCCAGCTCTTCACATATTTGTCTTTAGAAAATTACAATAAATGAGAATGCAACAAAACTTACTGATCAATCAGAAATAACAGAAAATCTCTGACTGGTTATTGATGCTAATCCCGCTCAAAACCATTGAGAAGCTAATCTCTCTGCCAGCGCTGCTCAATGAGTCTGGGCCACAGGAGGCTTCAACAGCACCTCACCACATTAAGACAAGTTTTGGAGCAAATTTCTACAACAAAAATATTTGAAAAAGTTACATATTGTAGCCTTAATGCAACATTTAAAGCAAGATTAAGGCATTTTTCTTTTTATTTATTTGCCAGTTTATTCTGCATTTTACTGCATCAAGACATATTCCAGTTGGTTGGCTTGTAGACACGGGTCATTGCAGCAACTGTTTGAATTCAGTCTTAAATTTTGGACGCAGTCACAGTCACCAGAACTCTCAGTCAGCCGTCAGTGGACGTATAGTATCTCACAGTGTGGCCTGGGATCAGCATTTTAAATAGACAAACAAAAGTGCCACCACATTTCTCTCAAGAGGAGCCTTAAAGACTGAAGTCCAAGTCCCAAGTCTGTGTAGTCTCTGCTGCTCTATTGAGGTTAATTAAAGTCACTGACCACAACAAGAAGAAAGGTTTAACTACTAACACATATACAGTAGCATATGCAGACACACTGAGAACTAAACAATACATGTCCCTTCCCACTCCCCTGCTCACCTCCCACCTTTCCCTCCTATCTTCCACCCCTCCCTCTTTCTCGCCCTCTCACTCCCTTCTTGAATTAGGTCCATTATTCCTGCTTGCTCTCCGCCGTCCCTCTGAGCTCTCATGTTCTGCTCAATGCCTCTGAAAATGCTGTATGTGTGTGAGAGAGAGAACGCCTTGTATGTGTGTGTGTAGGGCTGTGTGTTTCTCTAAGAGGAGCTGGAGTGGAGCTGTTCATCAGTAGCACTGACTGCAGACAGGGGAATACTCACATCTCACCGCGCTGCTTTTTAACTGACACACCGGCTGCTTGTTGGACTTTTCTAACTCGCAGGACTTTTCACACCAACGTGGACCTCTGCCACTGCTCTCTTTCTGTCCTGCAGGCACCACTCCCCATCACTGGGATTACTTAATTTTTTTCCTGCAGTTTTACAGGAATTTCTATCTGCTTTAAACTTGGTTTTCTTTATCCATCCAATCTATGGACTATCAAAAAATCCAGAATCAGGTGTTTTCACCTTATTGCAGATGAAGGTTTCTGTGTATTTGCATTGAACTGAAAAATGCTCAAGCCTGAGAATGGCTGTGTTGCAAGTAAAGCACATAGCAAGAGCTCAGTGACTGTGTTCTCCTGACTGTGAATTTACAATCCAGAGGGCTACATCCTCTCTTAATGAAAGGACTGTGAGAGGTTAAACAGCAAAAAGCAGCACTGTAATTATGGAAGCAGTCAGTGCTGTCAGCAGCATGTTGGGCTCAGGTGGATGGTGATCCCGTTCTGAACTCTTTGGAATTTGGTTTCCTTGGAAACGGACAGGTGAGTGGTCCGGTCAGTAGCATTTATGTCGCTGCTTACATTACATGTGACATTATAATCAGTGGTGTGGCACTAAAGGCAGTTTGGGTCTAACTTACTACTATTTTAAACATGATTCTGATCTGGCTGAGAAAACCTGTAAACCTTAAACCAGTTCATGTTTGGGTCTGTTTGTGACCCGATCTTGTGCAGCAGTGCCATTTCTGAGACATTACATTCCTATTTCTACAAGTCATCCTGATGACATGCAGGCTTCCTCCACATGGAGCGCGTTTGAAATCTGCTCTATCATTATATTTAAGAAAACAGAGTGAGCTGTCTTCCCACAGAGTTGTTTGGAGCAGCTCCAGTCAGACGCAGCTCTGAAATGTCCTGACCTGCTGCCGCTTCTGGCTGTAACGCAGCTGAACGGCCAGCTACCAGCAGGCTACCCTTGCTTTACTGGCTCAGTCACTGTCACTATGTTCAGAGCTGTCTAAACCAGACAAGAGGTTTAAACTGTATGGCAACTGCAGTACTCCAGCAGCATTTGATATATTTCTTCCATGTAATATATTAAGTTACCCACAATAATATTAGTCCAATACCCCCTCCTCTGGCTATGCAGGCAGAACTGACAAAATGGTTTTAAAGGTATTTATCATCATGAGTAAGATTTGTATCTTGACAACCAAGCAGGTTATTTTTATCTCTTAAAGTTTTCCCACTAAAGCTTTGATTCCTGTGAATAATGTAGCCAAACGTCACAAATGATAGCCATGAGATGGCTGGCTGGGAAAACTTCCATTCACGATGCTGGGCCAAATGGCACGGTACCAGTGACCAGCCGAGCGCTGCAGCCTCCCCGGCTCCTTCATTCACTCGGTGTCTTTCAGGAGAACAAGACGCTCTGCCCCGGATCCTCTCGCTTTCTCTATCTTCAGCTTAAATCCCATAAAGACTGGCAGATACCTTTGGCTTATAGCCGTATTACTTTTGCATGTGTATGTGTGTGAAATTTCCATTTACTTCTTTAACTATAGCTTTGTCCCAAGTCCCTCTCCTGAAAACAAGACTATTTCTAAGCTGTACTACACAGAGGATACAGAGCATGCTTTTAAATTCTTTTCTGAGCCTTCATATGACTGAGCTTTTTAGTCTTTGTGTTGATATACATAGCTTGTTTGAGCCCAATGTTCACTTTCACTCAGCTCTGCCTCTCAAAATAAACACATTTATGGGTCATTTATATAACAGTTAAAACAGAACAGTTCTATCCTGTACTTTTCTTGTGGTTCAAACTGAATTCTTTGCCCTCCTGGTGGTCTCTTTATCAACATGCATTTTCCTAGTTTTCGGGGTTAATGAGGCGCCACTCAGCTCTCCACTCTTCAGGGCAAGAGCAAAATGCTCTAATGCTTCAAACCCAAAACACGGTCACAGCTGTAGTCATTGTAAAAGACAAACATAGCTCGATGCACTTGTGTCGCTCCCTGTTGAAACTGTTTGGAAAAACTGCAGTGTGATGACATGCAGCCACACACCCATACATCACCTGCTCTCCCTCTTTCACTCCTCCCTGCACGTCTAAGGCTTCCAATTGTTTCTTTTTCTGCAAATGAAGCATTCAGGCCGGCAAACTAAGCAGTTTTTTTTCTTAATCTGAGCTGAATCAAAAGACAAAATAATATTTTTTTCATGAGTAAAAGTGGTAAAGGTTCAACGTTTTACATGCTAGCTCCCCTTGAACTATGATGCAATGCCTGAAGACGCTGACTCACATTCGGTCCTCGATTATTTCCCATAACCTCAGAATTTCTAACCATCACAATTTGAAGAGTCACCTTCTTTTTTAATGGTAAACTAGTTATTATATCCAACCTCAGACCTAAAACCAAGACTTAGCACTAAGATAAGTGGTTATCCTTGTGGATATTAAATCAAAAATTATCCCCAGAAGGGAAATTTGTCTTGACAACATAAAGAATATATAGAGTATAACGCATACACCATTTGCTTTCTGATAATATGAACAATTTTTTGATACATAGAGTATAATGCACCAGATTTATGACACAGGAGTTTATGAACTTGATCCAAATAGCATAAGCACAAAGAAAACAGCTAGCATGAAAACTGTGCTTGCAGTCCAGTGTGTTTCAGATGCATTTTAACGCTAATGAAATTACACAGTGTGATAACGTACTAGTTTACCTGTTTGTTGTGTGGTTAAGTGGGTCTCAAACCAGACATTTGGTCTGGTCTCCCCCCCCCCAACACACAGCTCTTTCTCAGTTCACTTACTGTATCAAATCAAATCAAATCAAATTTTATTTGTATAGCGCCAAATCACAACAAAAGTCATCTCAGGACACTTTACAAAGTAAGGTCTAGACCTTACTGTTATCAATATTATTACATAGGGAAAACCCAACAAATCCCCCTTGAGCAAGCACTTGGCGACAGTGGGGAGGAAAAACTCCCTTTAACGGAAGAAACCTCCGACAGACCCCGGCTCTTGGTGGGCGGCCTTCTGCCTCGACCGGTTGGGGTGAGTGGATAGAGGAGAGACAAAAGAAGAAAAGCAACAAGACACAACAATCAAACACTGATCAGGTCGATGTGGCTGGTGACTGCTTGTCAGAGACGTAGAGCTCCAGGGCCAGGGCAACCTGCAG